GCTGTGCTTCAGCTGACAGTAAAAGGAATGTACATGTGCCAGCAGGAGATATTTACAAAGCAGAGAGGGGCAACACCTGCTTCAGGTGAGGAAGAACTTTATGGATCAATTACCAACTGACCACAGTGGAAGAGCAGGGCTGGTTAATATGTTTTAGAAAACAAACTCTCCTTTAAAGAAAAAAAATCTTAATTATATATTTAAGTGCTTATGATCTGCTGCAGGCCTAGCCACCTTTAACAGCTCTACATCGAGCTATACCAAACATTAAATGCTACATATTATGACTTTGTTGTAATCTCTGTCTTTTTTTTGAAAATGTACAAAATAATTGTTGTTTATGTCTTGTGTTTCTATGTCGTTTCTGTAACTGACTGACAACCTGTCAAGTGTGAAGCCTAATTCTGGCCTGATGACTAAAGGGATTAACTACAGCCCCTCCAGTCCCCGCAATCTTAAGCTACAAAAAGGGAGTTGGGTTTGCCTTAAAGGCTTGGATTTATAGAAGATTATCCAGAAATTTTCAACGGTAATGGATCCCTTTGATTGCTGTTCAACATGTTAGAATATAATGCAGACAAAACACCCTGAAATGCACCATACATGCATACACCAGACTCTGCCCCCCTCCTTGTAAAAACTGTGTATTGCTCACATATCCAGCTGAGTCAATCTCTCTCTTCCTCTCTTTTGGACCCACATAAACACAGAATATATGCTTGTGCTATGTCCCACGGTGTTTACCACGTGGCTGTGGTTCAGCTCTCAGCTCTTATCAGTGTTGGGTAATGTTGGTATTTCCTGACTGCAACAAGAGCAGAAGGTGGCACAGGATGAGTGCTGCTTCCTGTGCTGGCACACCCAGCTTGTATCCAGCAGCCTCCATCCATTCCACCCGGGGGTAAGGGGAAGTGTTAAGGAGGGGGATTGTTAATGTGCTCCCAATTCATACCAGAAGTTTTCAGTCTCCAACTTATGCTTCTATTTGCCTGAGATACAAGATAGCAGCAACATGACGAATGAGGTGTAAGCTGGAAAAACATCTCGAAAAAAGGAAAAAAGGTATTTAAATTGAGTGTTATTTTCTTTATGAAAAAGTCAGCATCACATATGAGACGTTCAAGTCATTGCAAATGAAGCATGAGCCCCATTTGAATTTAAAAGAAACATTTCTTTGCTTAGTATCTTTCATTAAAGTAATATTTTCTATGTAACGGTCATACGAAGGGCCCCTGTGGATAGGATTCAGTGCAATATTAACATATTTTCTGTTCCTGTTTCTGTGCAAACTTTGTTCATCTGTGATGTTGTTTCTTCTCCGTCTCGGCACAGCCTTTCCCATGGGAGGTGCGCAGAAGAAACTTTGGGGATCTTCAGATGTTTGTAAATATCCATGCAAGCCTGTGAAGGCTCAGGAAGACTCACCCTCCAAACATTCTGATGTCGAGCATTTATTGAAGTGGGTTTCTTTGGAAACCATGATCACTGGGCTCTCCTTAAGGGTATGTTTTGGAGCCGAGCCTATTGCCACGCATCAGAAATTAAGCTTTTTTTTTTTTATCATCCCCATCTATAAGCTGTAGCCCAGCTGAATGATTGTTATTCCTCTATCACTCTTTTATGTGAATCTTATCATTTGCAACTTTATGACAATTGGCTGTCACTTTTATATTACCTTCTCATTATTTCCTTAATGTTTTTTTTTTCCATACAAAAGGATCAACTGAAAATTGGGAAAGAAAATTTAAATGCTTAATAAGTGCCACTAAGTTGCCAATATTAGCCATCATTTCTGTGCCGTTTAGCCTCTACTGGCTTAAAGTTACAGCTTGTTGTTTTAAAGAGCGTTAGCGCAGTGTGCATCAGATTTGCTCTCATGTTGTTATCTGGGTCAGTGCTACAATACTGGAGTAGTGATTTTGTAAATTTTATAGAAGGGACCGAAGTGTGCACATCACGAAGCATGTGGGAGCTGCAGTACTTAAAGTGCAGAATTTTTTTCTTTAACACATGTTCAAAAACATTTGAGGCAACTTGAATTATGAGAGGCTGTAAATAATGGGAATTACAGTTAAAAACTAAAAAAAAAAAAAATTAGAAAAAAACGTAGGTAAAGTACAACTGTTCACTTTAAAAGCATGGGAAGAAGTATACTTAAAAGAAATATCTTCAGTATTGTAACTGTGGCCTAAAATAAAGGTTTTTCTAAGCCTTCACTAGTCCTCTGTTCATGTTTTGCTTTAAATGACACATTTCTTATATATTTTTTTTTGGTCCAGCCACAAACAACAAAGAATATGTTACAGCCAACGAGTAATCCTTCCACTGAAATTATTTCTTTAGTCTGTTGTTCTTCTTTTTTTTTTTTTACAGTGCCCTGTCTTGGCAATGTGGCAATAAGAATAATTGTCTTGATGCCAAAAAGAGGCCAACAGATTTTACTTTCACAAGTGGAGCAGTACGGTTATTGCCATAGTGTTCCGCTTGTTTCATGCATATACATTTCTTTATTATAATTATGCAGGGAGTTTTACAGATTATATGGACACTGCAATGTAAATAGAACTGTCATAATCCTGGCGCTGATGGTTGGGTTTTTTCCTCTGCTCCTGCTCACCTGCCTAATTGGCCCTGTGGCTGATTACTGCCAATCTGATTCACCTGGTCCCTGCAGCTATTTAGGCTGTTTGCTTTCCTGCCATCAGCGTCGGATTATTCAACCTGTGTCATTGTGAGTAACCCAAGCTGTCAAAGTGTTCTGTGTTATTCTTCTCAGTTTATTGCCCATGTGTTTTTGCTAGTGATGGTGAGATGGAGCCTCATGAGGCATTGAACCGTTTGGCCAAATTGCTTCAACGGTGTTCAGTTCTGTGGAATTGTTCTCAGTTTTTCCCCATGTGTTTTTGGTTTTTGCCATTTTCCCTATTTCAAAAAATAACTGAAAGAGGTCGATGGAAACTCCTCAAAGCAGGTTCTCTGATTCTCTGCTGAGACAGGAAACTCAGGTCAGTGACAAGAATGAAGAGTGGAGAGGACAACAAAAAGTCACTGACCTGGTTGAGAGTTCAGTTCGAAACTCAGAGAGGAGAAACCCGGGGGGGGAGACAGTCCACCGCTTGCGGTCGTTACCGCTTCAGAGAACAGAGTGTGGGGGAGCCGGCACCAGCCGACGCAGAGCGAGCTACAGTGTCCGTGAGGGATTATGTGAAGCCGAAATCCAGTCCAGTGCAGTGTCAGAAACCAGGAGATCCAAGAGCCGAAGAGGTATGCAGGGAGAATCCAAGCTGAGGTCAGAAAAACAGTCCAAGTTCAATAACGGGCAAAAAACCAAACTGAGCAGGGCAGACAGGGAAAAGGCAAAAACTAGTGATGTTATGAGATGAGCCGAGGCTTCGAGGCGTGTGTCGAGTAATCAAGGGGGCGTTTCCCCGAGGCGTGTGTCGAGGCGTGCTTCATTTAGGGGAGGGGCCAAAATTGATGACGTCCGAGGCCTTGCTGCCATGATACCACGTGACCGCTTTTTCAGATTTTGCGCGAAACTCGAAAGGCATTTAAACAGCCTCAGTACTCAGTCAAGATGTGGGAGTTTGCAGGAGATTTGTGGTCAGTTGAGTGTTTTGGTAGAGTTTGGAGAGAGTTTAGTTAGATTTTTTGAGAGAGTTTAGAGGGAGTTTATAGAGAGCTTAGTTTGATATTTGAGAGAGTTTAGAGAGATTTGGGAGTTTGGAGATAGTGGAGAGGATAGATATGGAGCAGGCAAGAAAGAGGAGGATGTCACCTATGTGGGAGCATTTCGACCTGATTTCTCCCACTAAGGTAAATGTATTGAATCTAACCTACTTAAATTTTTTTATCCCAACAGTTGTTTATTTTCATTAACTCCTAATGATTCATAGGTGAATTGTTTATTGTGTTCCAAGGAGTTGGGATACAATAACAACACCTCTTCCATGCTGAGGCATTACCGTGCCCTGCATGAGAATAAGGAGGCCACTGGAGCCACGCCCAGAAATGGTAAGTTACCGGTATTAAAATACACAACGCCATTTTTCTTTAAGGTATTTTGTTGAGTAAATTAATAACCAAAACAGGTCATGGACACTTATTTATTTCTTTGTAACCAGCCACCAGGAAGCAACAGCTGGATGAGCTCCTAGTCAACCTTGTTGTCAAGCATACACAGCCCTTTAGCATTGTGGATCGAGTTGGATTCAGGGCATTTGTGGCAAAATTGGATCCAAATTATGTTCTTCTAACTCGGCAGGTATATATTGATGCATTCATTAAATGAAAGAGTACTATGTTTTCCTCATAATTTAGCTCTGTTTTTTTTATTTATTTTTTAGGCTCTAAAGGCCATAGTGGAAGAAAAATTTGAGTCTGCTAAACAGAAGGCCAAGGCTAAATTAGGAGAGGTGGCTGATGTTAGCCTTGTGACTGATATGTGGACATTCATCAACATGGATGCCTACCTGGCTGTAATGTGTCATTTTCTGGATGACAAAGCAAGGCTCAATACTGTGCTGTGCCGGGAGTGCAGTCATTCCACCAGTCACATACTGCTGAAAATATAGCGTGTGTGTGAAAACATCCATGATGGAGAAGTGGGGGATATCCAACAAGGTGACTTGTGTGGTGACTAATGGTGCTCCTAATATGGTTGCCTGTGTGAGGGAGCTGAAGCTTCGGCATCATATTTGTGTCGCGCACACGGTGAATCTGGTGGTGAAGAAGTCCCTTGACCAGCACCCTGTGCTCTCTGGCATCCGGGCTAAAGCACGGAAGCTGGTTGGCTACTTTAGAAGCAGCACTACTGCTAAGGTATGCTCTTTCCCAGTATTACAGATTATCATAAATCTAATTATTTTGTTATTACTAGAGTGATTTGTCTTTATCTGTGTATTTAACAGGAGAAGCTTTCACAAGTACAGCGCCATCTGGGGCTACAAGAATTGAAGCTGATGCAAGAAGTGTAAACCAGATGGAACAGCACCCATTTAATGTTGCAGCGTCTGATAGAGTTACGCGAGCCAGTTGGAGCAGCGTTAGCTGGACTACAGACTGACATTCCCATTCTAACATCAGAGGAGTTCGAAATTGTACGAGGGTGCCTTTCTTTGCTAAATCCCTTCTACTATGCTACTGTTGAGCTCTCTGCAGAGGAGACTGTTTCTGCCTCCAAAGTCATTCCCCTCTTAAAGGTGTTGGAGCAGAGCCTTCAGGAGGAGATGGCAAAACCAGCACCACCTGTTTCACTTGAAGTTGGAGACCACCTCATCAGGCAACTACGGGACAGGCTACAAATGTTACAATCCATGAGCCTTTTAGCTCTAGCTACCCTGCTTGATCCCAGATTCAAAGTAATTGTTTTTTTCAGCCACACTAAAGTCACTGAGGCAATTACGAGACTGACCTCCGAATGTGCCACAATGATGCGTTCTAGACCAAGCTTTGATGAAACACCCCAGGCTTCGACTTCTCAAGATGCTACTGGAGGTAATTATTTTGTGACCAGGTTTTTTTTTTTTTTTTTTTTTTTTTTGTACTTTTACATATTACTTTTGCTAACATCTGCTTTTCTTCTCTAGGTAGCAAACTGTGGCATCATTTAGATGCAAGCGTGATGGAGGCCAGAAAATCCAAAAATGTGACTGCAAATGCCACTGTGGAAGTCCAGCGCTACCTTTCAGAGGCCAACATAACAAGAATGGAAAATCCATTGGAGTACTGGGGGGGGGGGGGAACTCCAGTACCCCAATTTATACAGACTTGTACATGTCTTTTTATGCACGCCAGCATCTTCAGTGCCTTGTGAGCGTGTGTTCTCAAAGGCAGGTGAAGTTGTGTGTAAAAAAAAAAAAAAAAAAAAAAAAAAAAAAAAAAAAAAAAAAAAAACTGAAGCCCAAAACTTTGGAAAAATTATTTCTGAATAAAAATGAACACCTTTAATTTTGCTCATCATTGCACAAGCACTTTCACTGTATCACTCTTTGAGCTTACATCACTAAAATGACAAAACGGTGTACCTTAAGAGATTCTTCTTTTCCAAGAAATGAGACACACACAAAACTTTCCAAATGATTTTATTATAAGAAACAATCAAGCAATTTTTTTTATAAAAACATTGCAAACATAACAGATTTTATTACGAAGTTTAGTTCTGCACTCCACCAGTAGGTGGTGACATGTTCACATGAGGCATCATGAACTGTGGGGATCGTTGAAGCAATTTGGCCAAACGGTTCAATGCCTCATGAGGCTCCATCTCACCATCACTAGCAAAAACACATGGGCAATAAACTGAAGAATAACACAGAACACTTTGACAGCTTGGGAAACTCACAATGACACAGGTTGAATAATCCGACGCTGATGGCAGGAAAGCAAACAGCCTAAAAAGCTGCAGGGACCAGGTGAATCAGATTGGCAGTAATCGGCCACAGAACCAATTGGGCAGGTGAGCAGGAGCAGAGGAAAAAACCCAACCATCAGCGCCAGGTTTAAGAACAGAAGTGGGGGGAAAAAAGAAGAGAGGATGAAATAGGAGATAAAGGGAGATAATAATAAAACATAGTCTGTTCTTTACAGTAATGCGAGTTTGCAGGAACTTTTTAATGACAGCTTGGCTCCAACTTTGCATCTTCTAATTGTTACATAACTGATAAGTAACTTTAACCCCTTGTTAAAGAACTAGAGCTCACCATCAGCTGAGTCAGAAACATTTGGCTATTATTTGATATATTTAAATGGAAGTTTTCTGTTTTCTTTCAGGTCGTTCTGGTTTTAGTTTCCCATTTAAAGCATTTCAGATCATATTAGCTAAGTAATCTTTTTATATACTTTTTCTTTAATATGTTTTCCTTCAATCATGATGGCATATGTTCATTCTGATTTCCATCTGGATAAACTATTTTGACTTTAGTTTTACATAGTAATGGACTATGACCTGCTCACATGCATGTATTTAAATAAGTGTAATCTATTTGAATTCTGTCGTCAGAATTGATTATCCAAATTATTAAACCTCAATATTGGTATCAATTTGAACACTCCCCCTTTTAACTATTAATACATTTAATCAGTATGTCCTGGATGCTGATTTTGTTGTTTTTTAAATACTCTATTACTCCAAAAATTTATGTAATTAACAACAGGCGTTGATTGGAAAGTCAAGTTAGACTTTTTATTTTTGACATAGTTGCATGTAATGGGGGTAGATTGTAAAAAAACACACATGCAACACCTATGACAGGGTGTAGATTATATTCTAAACCTTTTTTGTCCTTTCCCCCCCATGTAAAAATAAGCTACAAGCTCTCTAACAGGAGCTAAAGAAAGATTTTCTCTCTTAGAAGAATTGAAACATTTACAAATAGCAAGGTTAAGGTTTTTGTATTAGCTCGTAAATTTAACAGACTGTATAATGTCGCTGAAGCATTTTTAAAGTTATCAGTAATTAGTTTCTATAGTATTTACATATTTGCCCCATTTTACACTTTAAGTGAGTCATGCTGAAGTATTCATTGGAGAGCATGAGAACTAAGCCGCTCCTCAACTTTTCTTTTGCTTTCTCTCTGTAATCTGGGTTTGGTGAATTGCATAATCATAATCTCCACCATCTTCTTTCTGTTATACTAACTACATAAGTAGTTACAGGGTGATGACAAATAGCAGGGCCAGCCCTAAAATAGTTGATATGTGAGCTTATGCGCTGTGTAAAGAGGTGGGTTTGTGACCATTGTCAAAAAGAAGGTGGGTGAGATTTTTTATGGTTATCATTGTAAATTTGCAGCTTAAGACACTGTATTGTATTCTATACCAAAAGATCTGTAGTTATAAGGGAAACAAGGTGAAGTAGTCATCTGTTGTGGTATTTGTTTGGATGTTTGCTTCCTCTTGCAATGTGATATCTCTAAAACAAGCCTTGGCACAAAGATAGACACCTATTTATACTGTTTCTGAGAACAATAGACATTAGTTTTAATCTGAAAGGTTGTGGCCTCTTAAGCTTTGTGAACAAACCCTGTTTTCCTTTTAAAGTATCCAACTGATTCAAAGAGACAAGCGCTAGGAAGAGAGAGGAAGCTGTTGTGGGGCTAAGTGAACTGTGCCAGTCCATTGTGAGGGAGTGTGTGTGCGCACTGTTGTTTATAATAATTTTAGAGTGCCGCATGTTTGCCTGGCAATGGACTAAAACCCAATCCATGAAACAATGAAGTCATGCTATAAGAATTTGTGGTAATCTTCATGCAGCAACATTCATTTATCACTATTGTGTCACATTTAGCATTTCTGAGGCTTTGTGGCTGTAAGAACAAGATTAGATGCACAGTATACTGAAACGCTTTTTGTCATGAGAGTTTGAGCCTAAAAATATTGTCATCTTACTTTCTTTTGGTCCACACACTGAATGTTGATGTCATACCAAATTCAAAAGGTCATGCAAAAACAAGGGATCACATGCAAAGAAAAGTGCTGCAAAGGAGACAAACTGTAATCAGAGAAAATAGAGAGCCGCAAAGTGGAAGCATACTGCCGACATAAACATTGCTGCAAATGCATAGATGATGCTGAAACACAAAGCACATGCAGCAAGTTGCAAAAAACAGCTGCAAGTTAAGAGAAGTTGCAAACTAGTGCCACATAATGGAGGTGGCCCAGACATCTAGGGGTAGATGATCATCAACTTAAACATAAACAAGATGCTTTTATTTCTTCACTCCAGATATCCTCTGTTCTGGTTCCTGCGCCATTAGTTCGCCATTACACCCTCTGGTGAATTCCAGCGAGTCTGCATCAGTGCAAGCTTGCTGAAATTTTGAGGCCTGAACGGTCCACTCGCCCTACCCACTGCGTGGTTTGGGATGGCCCTTAATGTGGTGGACCCTCCATGGGAACGCACAAACGGAGGGTAAGTGCTTAGTATTTAGGGGTTTGAGATTGGGCCTATTTGTTAGAAATGTCTATGTGCTGGTCTCATATGTTTATCTCCCCCTTGTTGCCTTGATAACTCTTGTTATGAGAAACAAGCTAGCTGCTTTCTTATATCATTGCAGCACTTTTCCCTTCATGTGTTTTATGTGTAAATTTTTTATTTATTTTTTTGTTTGCTACTCTAAGATTTGAGTTTGCTATATTTTTAAGTTTATGTGAAATTTTTGAAACTGCTTTGAAATCATGTATTTGCATGGTGTTTACACCCCTCTGACACTGTATAAACTATACTAAACTCTGATTCTGCTGGTATATCGTACAGATGCACATTTAGGCCGTTATTCTCATTTTGTTGTTCAAAAAAGTTATAATTCCAACTGTGATGGCTGCATTTACAGCCACACAGATGTGGTAACAAACACAATTTATACTTTATTGCTTTTTTTTCATACAGGGTTTCATTTACAGAGCAATCTCCATCCATCCATTTTCCATCATGCTTTTCCCTGCTGGGGGTCGCGAGGGATGCTGGTGCCCACCTCCAGGTGTCAAAGAGGTGAGAGACAGGGTACAGCCTGGACAGGTGGCCAGTATATCGCAGGGCAACACAGAGACACACAACCATTCTCACACACTCATACCTAAGGACAATTTAGAGATGCCATTTAACCTAACAGTCATGTTTTTGGACTGTGGGAGGAAGCTGGTGTACCCGTGGAGACCCATGAAAATTCCAACCCAGAACCTTTTTGCTGAAAGGTAGCAGTGCTACCCTCTATGCAGCCCGAAAGCAATCTCATTATTTGGAATGTATTCATCACCAATAAACTGTATTCCAAAATTAGTGGACACTCCTTGGTTGTTTCCTGTTTTTGTCATGATTGTGTTTAATTTATATTCTTTTTGAGTTTTGCAGTTGCTCCAGTCCCTTGTCTGAAGAACCGGCAGTGGGCCAAGTTAAGTTAAGTTTTTATATGTTTTGCCCCATGTGTTTCTTTTGTGGACTAATCAGCCTCTATTTCAGTTCCCCTTTGTCTGATTAAGGGAGATCAGTTTGAGTTAGTGTTGTTCTGTTACAGATATTTGAGTCGTTTCGGTTCCTTAAACTTCTTTTATGGATCCATTTCTGTACCTGTTACATTTTATATTTTTGGGGGGCTTAAATAGAAGAACCCTGTTTTTGACATACACCTGGTCCTGACTGTCCTTACTGCTCGGCCCATCTCACTGACCAAAAGCATGGCTTACTTTAAAAACTTTAGAAAGTTTTGTTTTTGTTTTGTTCTTCTGTGGTTACACCTAACCTAAAAATATACCTAAGAATAATAAAATAAGCAGAAAATACAGAACCAATATTACATTTTTGACCTGTTACAATAAATGCAATGCTTTTTTAAAACAGAAGGAAAATTATTATTTTTGCTTTTTTTTTTTTTTTTTCATTATTATTATTTGATCAACACATTACAGGTAGAACACCACAGGAATGAAAGTCTTAATGTCAGACTCAATTTCTTTTCCCTAATAACAGTAGATATCACACCTGAGAATGCTGATAGCAGAAGAAAGAAAAAAGTCCTGCAAAGTTTGTAATTGTTCCTACAATGTTTGTTTGAACAGATTTGTTTTCTTAAACATACAAAGTTTAAAAACAATTTAATCGAAAAACTGAATCATTGCACCAGAAAAAGAGTTACTTTAAAATAAGTAATCTTCACATCTCTAATCTGAATAGACTACATAATTTCTCAGAAATATTTTTGGTAGAAATGAAAAAGCAATTATGTTTTTATCTTGTAATAACAAACCTCTTCTGGTAAAACTCATTATTTCAGCATTGAATAAGTGTGCACCTCATGTCTCGTCAGTTTTTGGGAAAAG